TGGGTTAAATTTGTAAATTTTGTTGGCTATGGTCATTAGCACAACCATGGTTCAAAGGTTAATTTTCTTCCAGAGCATGCTGTTGAATCTCCTATATAAGTACGAGGATAGTTCTTTTGAAATTTTATTTACTTTCGCAAGTTTAGTCATGAAAAAAATGCCTGTCTATTTGTCTGAACAAAGTTTAGCTGGAGAGCGGTTTTAGGACATGCTGTATTGTTTAATGACATGCTGTATTGTATTGATACAATTACCGTGCATAATCGGTGAATCGGAAGAACCTTGTGTTGGCTTTCTGACAAAATCACTATTTGTCCAAGCAAAATGATAATTGGAGAAATATGGAAACACAGCGAACGGGAGAGTCGACCATTTGGAACAAATCATATAGTCGGCAGGAACTGTCAGTGGAATAAGAACGCACGGATCTCAAATCATCGAATAGCCCCTCTTTTACCTTACAGAAGATTTATTAAATCGCAGTTGCCTCAAAATAGATCTAAATTTTTTTGCTCAGAAAACGAGCCATATTTTACTGTTTAAATGAGATCCCAGATGAGATATCTCCAATGGAAATTTGGAGATGTGAAACAAAAATTTTAATCACACAAACGCGACAACACAAATCATTGCTTCGCTTCTTGACCATTTCACGTAACATTACTTAGAAGTGACTCAGAAACTGGGCTGGCCACAACCGTAATCACATTCGCAAGTTTCCAGTGCGTTGCGTGAAACTTATAAAGTCTCACGCAATGCACTGGGAACTTGCGAATGTGATTGCTGAGAATACAAAATTTTAGATAAATTCAATAATATCAATAAAAACAAAGTTAGTATTTAGGTCGCAATCATCACCGAAATCCTCCATCATTTATGCGTCATGGTATTGGCATGAATCATGCTCAACAAACGACAAGGTAACGTTCTCTTATCAGTGTTTTTCCCTTAAAATTATTCAGTTATTTATAACTTATCAATTGGATTTTAATTGTTTCGTTTTTTTTTTTATTAGCGCAGAATGAGCTTTGGTTGCTCTTCATTCGTCCTTTAATTTGTCTTGTTCTCAGCGAGCAAACTACGCCTTCTGACGGAATTGCTTTTTCGGTGAACAAATATTTTTTCATTTTCACATGAATTATTCCAGTATTTAATTGAAAAACTCAATTTGGCTTCTTTTCGTAAATTTGTTTGCCCCGATGTAAATGCGATAATTGTTTATAGATGGAATTTTTTCCAATAGGTTTTGTACATTTCATTCGGATCCCGAAGGTGAATCTTATGCCGAGGAGAAAAACAGAAGTTGAATTTTTGTTCAAATTGTTGCTAATTTATTTTTTGAGGTTTCTTTCAAAACAACTCAGTCTGCTTTTTTTCGCATTTTTTAAGGCATTATACAAAGGCTGAAAATTAGTTCAAATAAAAAATAGCAGGTTTGCCGGATCGTACGCGAAAATAATGAAATTTTTTCAAAGAAATTATTATTAGAATTTAAAAAATAGCAGTTGTGTGGTCAGCATTGTTGAATTACTTTGATCAGCTGCAACTTATATCTCGTTCTTCAGCTATGCTTCGTTTAATGGTTAGTCTGTAGACATGTATTGACTTCTAAAAGCAAATAACTGTTTAGATTAATGGCCGATCAGGATAACACTGTTGTGAAGCATCAAATTCCACATATAACAAC